ATTTAACTCTGTTCATAGAAATTCTTTAATCAATATTATAACAACTGTTGGAAAATTAATTAACCTTATCATCAATGTAACCAACAAAAGTAAAGTAATCTAATGTGAATAATTTGTTTCAATCTGCAACTCATTTTACTAAATTACAAATTTTATTAAAGATATGATCACTGTTTTTGGTTATTTTCTTATATAATTGAATTTATTGATATATTGACAGATAAGTAAATCATTTTCATAACCAAAATAAGATTGTTAATCTTGCTTTAAATTTTTGTATTTTTAATAAGCAAATTATATTGTTTGGTTTGAATATAAAAATCTAAATTGCCATCGAAAGTGGATTAATTTGAATTCAATAACTTCAAAGATAATCTATGTAATGAAAATAAACATGAAATTAACATCCAATCCAAATCTTATTGAAGGCATGAAAATTTCTAAATCAATTTTTATTTCTTTTTTGGAAAAACTACGAATATATTAATTTAGTTGTGCTGACTTCATACAATCTGTTGAATCTAAGAAATTTTATAGCCATTCTTTATGATTATTTGAAATAGCAAAGACAAATTAAGAAATTAATGATTACTTTAAATTTAGTGTTTTAAATATTCTTTAGTGATACTCTTAATTCAGAAGCTATAAATCTTGATTCAAATTTAGCTTTTGATAAGTTTTCGATAACTTTGCGTAACACTTATGTATTTTCCTTTAAATTGTATTCTTGCACTTTAAAGTTTCATTTTCTAATTGTTAAATGTGGAAGAAATTAATTGCTTCGAGCTCACTTTATATATGCTTTATACAATCCATTTTTCGATGTAGATTAGATATCAACAATCTGTACTTCTATTAGCTTTGATTTTATTAAACATATCAGATAATCATTAAAAACAAACAATTCAACTAATATTCTAGTGCTTTTATTTGTATTTTTTTTCTTCTAAACTTTTTTTTACATTTTATGATTATCGAATTAACTTATTCATTTATTTGTTTTAAATTGCTTCTTGGGCTTTATTCATAAAATTTATATACATTGTCTTGAGAACTTTTTAGAAACGACCTCTATTTATAAAATTATGATAAGATAATAATTTTGAAAAAATATATTTGAAATATGGATTTAATTTTTCCCTTTATAATTTTTAATTCTCAATAAAAATTATATATTACCAGTGGGCCACACAGTGTCCGGTGTATGTTTTTTAACCAAGAGGCGCAAT